GACGCCCTCACAAAATATGGCTGCCATGGAGATACTGTATAGCCGATGGCCAAATGCCCACCTATGAAAAGGCAACTGTTGAGTGTCTCCATGCAACCTTTTCTAAGCTTCCAGGAGTGTAGCAAAATTATATGCCACCACTATTGCAGTAGGTTCACATATCAGAAAATCACATAGGGCAGAACCTCTCATTCTTGAAACACTCTAGGCAGAATTTGCATCACTTTTAACGGTTCTCACATTATGGCAGGTCACATTATAGAAGAGGAAGCAAGAGTTTTGGTATGAGATTCTGTACTTCCTGTCTTCTTACTCAATGTTTAGCCTTGTTCATAATCATTCCCTCTGCTTCATGCCCTTCCTCTCTCTCCCTTTACTGCATCAGTATCAACATCTTCACTGCCCTTTTCTGCTGCTCCCACCCAACCCTTCCAAGTGCTGCTGAAAGTAAGTCTGATGTGCAGCATGTGACATAGTCCTGATTTACTTCATCCCTAAGGATACACAAACCAAACTAAGTAATTTCTTGGTCAATGCACCAAACAGCTCATGGATTGACAAATAAGAAAATCAGTAAAGCATCTGATGCATTTTCATACTTGAAGCCAATTCCCCAACTCTCTTCTAGATTTGTTTCACTTAAAGTGGCATAAAAGCATTTGTAATAAATAAATAATATGTTAGCTATTGGGAACAATAACTAAGGAGCTTGGGCCACAGTGGGCTATAAGACAAAGTAGCTTTCCCCTCAGTGATGGCTAAGCTAGAGGTAAAACAAATATGGAAAAATGATATGGTAACAGATTTTGCTAGTCATTTGCCATCACTGGGTTGATGGTTCATGTATTTGTCTCCATTTCTTCCTTGCTTCTCAGAATAGCTCTTCTGGAATAAAAGTTGCTAACCATGTTGCTAACTGTGACTCCAGTGTTCTGCTGCCATAATGAGACAAAAAGGTCATTTCTAATAAGTATATGCCCTTAACAATGTATACCCTATTTTTTTATTATTTATTTTTTTTAAGAAAGGAATTTTCTCATGGAGGCAGTGCTGAAGATGACTTCATTCTTTACCAGGGCAACATACTTGGATTAAAATGAAAATTGCCTTGGTTTGGCTTAGGAGATCAGTGAATCAAGTATTTTTTTAATGGAGATTGTCTTTCAAAAAGCTGGCAACTATAAACAAACAAACAAACAAAAAAGGGAAGGACTGAAGCCAATCTCCAGTTTCCTTTACTTGACTTGCTTTATCCCTTTAAATTGTTCATAATATTGTAAATGCACATGGATACACAAAGCATTATGAAATGAGTACACAGGAATCAAATGATGGCTTTTATAGCAGAGTGACTCATTTGTTTCATTTGCTCTATTTTGAAATTTAATGAATCCAATTAATCATGCATATTTTAGTAGGAGCTTCATTTCAGAATGGCTTTCTAAGGCCACAAATAAAATAGTTATGCCTTATTCATTGGAACTCAGAATGGAAAGGACAAAGATAGATTTTGCTTGACCTTTGGGAGAAGCATTACAACAGGTCAATGGATTTTCTCTGTATTGCACATAAGATTATGGATTCCCAAATTTGAGCACTTTTAACTCTCAGCCATTGCAAGACTGCAACTCAAGGTTTTTTGAGATACTGGGAAAACCACCTCCACTGATTAAGGAGGGCATGGAAACATGGAATCCATTCATTTTTAGCCTTATGAATTATGTAGATGCTATGAAATTGAAATCATAACAGAAACAGGATGTTCTAGCAATAGGTGTCTGCAGGAGACACAAGGGGACAAGTGATGAAATGTGCATCAACAACCAACACAAATCTTGACTTAAGTACTTGTGTCCAATGTTGAGGCACAAGTCTGAAAGAGCAGGATTTTACAACTAGCTTCATCCTTAACCTTTCTAAACAGTTGTTCCGTATGACTAGGATCTCGTGGGGTTAGTCTTCAAATGATAGTAATAATCATAGCATTCAGTATAACTCAACTGAGTTATACTCTATCTTCAGATCTTCTTGCTCAGTTCATAATGGCTGAAGGTGAAAACAGGGCTACTGAAGAATGTACCACCACCACTTTCAAAGCAGGTGGTATCTCTCCTGACGGAGGGAAATGTTAATAATAAAATGTGAGAGATATTTCTAATACTGGTAAAAGGGATACCTAGTGGTTACCAAAACAATGGATTGATGCAGAATGACCCCCCTGCTCAAAAGAGGCAAGCCTTTTCTCCCACATATCAAAAAGGGGAAGAAACAGATAAGAATTTTGTCACCATAGATTGTTTATATATAGGTGTCTCATTTGAAAATATAATACTCACTGGAAATCTTGTGTTGTAGTCTTAACTTTTCTTCTGATAAATAGTACTAATCAGAGCCCTTCAATTTGTTACTTAGATTAACTGTTTTCACTTTTGGGAGGGAAGTCTGACAACATCTATCTCAGTGAATATGTCTCTCTAAAAAAAAGGCATCCTAGGGGGAGCTGGTTCTAAGGAGAGCTATGGGCACAACTCTTCCAAGCACCCTGTCCACATCCTCAAGGCGTACACTGAAGAATGATCCAATCACATAGGATAAGCAGGTGCTCTTCCTTCCTTTCCACAAGGATTGCTAGTGGGAGCATCTATCTCACTGTGAAAACAAACAAAATAAAGTCTTCACAGTTCTCTACTGAAGACCCTAAGAGGGTTTCCACAATCCTATTAGGTTGTGTCAATCCTCACATCACTAAAGACAGCACACTCAGATGGTTTTCAACAGATGCAGTGGTGATGAAGAAAAACATTTTTTTAATCCTTCCTTGCCAGAAGCAGGCTCTCCAATGTGCTCCCAAGTTGCACTCAGTCATGTTCACTTTTAGATTTCTGCCAACTATGCTGTAGATGTTTACCAACCCTTTCCATCACCCATAGAACCTCAGTGAACCAAGGTGATCTGCAGGCTTGGCAGACAGGCAAGGATACTTAGCAGCCAATTAGTCTATGACCTAGGACAGGTGGTCCTTCCAGTCTGCCATTAAAGCTTCAACTGAGAAGTTTGATGCTTTAGTAAATTTCTCCAAAGTGCATTCTGGAATTTCACTACATCTAAAAAATGCAATATTGAATCCCACTCCCCTGCAGGGAAGAGATAAAACCAAGCATCGTAACCTCACTAGCTGGCACTCAACAAAGATGTGACTTCTAGCTTGTCTCAGCTACAGATCATCATGATCAGTGCAAAATTTACATTGAGAGTGTCCTGCCTGGGAATTGGGACCAGTCAATGTTTCTTCCAGCTGACCAAAGGGGGGGGGGGGGGAAACAGCTGCCAACTTCTATCCCACTATCACCCAAGTTCTTCCTTCCCCCTTTGTTTTTTGCAGCACAGAAGAAATATTT